CCTTGGAGTTCATGATATCCTTCCCCCAAAAGATTGGATCCTGAATGGCCAATAAGAATTTCTTTCGAAGCCCGCCATGTATGGGACCATACTCAAAAGAAGGACTACCATACCCCTGCTGAAGTGTCATAGTGTCGAACCACACAAATCAGCTTCGAAGATGATTTTCTCATTCAGAAGGAGCCATTCAGCCGGGTCTACATGAACTTCTCCGGGGGGGGAATTTCCAAGCAGTAGGTGGCACTCAAAGGTCCACATTTAGTGCATGTTTGAGGACGCAGGGTAAACATCTCCGCACCACCATCTAGCTTTGAAAATCGCTACCGCATGGGCAAAAAAAAATGGTTCATCAATCATTTTCCCTTAGGACAACGGCATAAAATTGGATTAAACTATGTTAAACCCATGATTTTCAGACACCAATTGTTGATTCGATATCCCATAACGTTTCTCCGTTATCGTTGGTTTTTATTGGCTATAAACATTGTAAACATTTATATGTATATAAACCCGCTAGAACCACATTAAACCCAGATTACCAGACACACCCGCTTCCACTCAAACATAATATTGTTGATTATGTAACCGATTAAAACCCCTTACAATTTATAAGCCATTATGATATCCCATTATATTCGATTATATTCCATTACATTCCATTATATTCCATTACATTACATTATATTCCCAGTAGTATTCCATCCATTCCCATTAACATAGCATTATAAATCCCCATAAGAAAAAACATTTTGAAGCCTGGAAGCTCCGAGGCGCACGCATGTGGTGGTCTACATCCAATCCAGCTTGGGTGAGCAGACCACGTGGGGGCGCGCAGCAGGGGCGCATTCTCGTGCTGCAGCCACCAGGATCAGCCAAAAACGGGGATATGTTGATTCAGAAACCGTTTTAAGGCCCTTGACTCAAGAAAAAGTCAAAGCAACTTTGGCTTTTTTGGATATAGCATCTGGAAATTTCACACCCTGCTATTGAAAACCACCACTTTTGATAGGTAGATCATCGAACTAAATGAGATATGTTGATCCATTTTCCATAGCTATGTTAAATGACCAGAGGGTATTTTTGCTCTGGGCCACTTGAGATCCGAAAATGAAGAGATCCAGTACCACAGAAGGGTAGCTGGATGTGGCTTTATTATGTGTGATTTCTGACATTTCAATCCAAATTTTATCAACATCTGATTCTTTTGTCAACATCTGATTTTTATCAACATTTGTGTTATTTTGTGTTATTTTTTATCAATCCATCATAAACGCAGAATTTGTGTCGATCCTTTTTTCCAATCCGCGGGCTCCAGCGGCTCCGAGCGGCAGCTCCGGCACCGAGGCCCACGTCGCTGCTCATCGATGATGCCGATGGCAGCGTTACAGGGACAGTAGCTGCGCTGCGTTTCGGGTTGGGTTGGCTTCTGATCCATGGATATGGCTGAAGATTTTACCGAACTTTGTGGTTGAGTACAATAGAGGGCTGCACTATCCAATAGATTAATATATATATATAATTGATAATGAGAAAAAAAATATATACATAGTATATATATATATATATGTTGGGGATGATCACAATCCAGTATGGGATATCCGATCCATGATGGTAAATTAGCCCTAGCAGTGGGATCGAGCTGCAGCGACTGAGAACACTAAGAGCACAAGCAGCTGGTTGAAGCAGTTGATTTCAAAACTTGTGGCGATGGGAGTCGCAAAAGGGTGTTGAAGTATGAGAGGACCATTATAATCATTACACTTATCCCATTACATTACCATTACCTTGCCATTATATCCCATTTCAATGGTTAAATATATAAGTCCGTTATATATCCCATAAGATATCCTCATTCATATCCTATCAAATGCCAATTTTTTCAATAGTGACATCCCTAGAAAGCCCCAGATGCCACCAGCAAAATCACCCATGTCATCCATGGCACCACTGGCAACTCAGTACATAGATCGCTGCTTGAAATTATGATAAACCCCCATTCTATTCCCATTCCATTCCCATTCGATTCCATGATTATAACTCCTTATATTCCACTATATCCCACTAGATTTCGTTTTATTACCATGATATTCCCATTATTACTATGATATGCCACTATATGATATTCACATTAATGTTCCAATAGATACCATTGATACCCCACTACACTCCAATGATATCCCATTCATAATATTACACCATTTTCCACCTGCCACCAATATTCCCACGATATTTCCATTGATATTCCCATTGCACCAGGGATAAACTCCCACCAGGATCGCCTTCCCGGACCGCGACTTGGACCTTGGCGACCTGGGGGGCAGCATCAGCTGGGCGGAACCCAAGACCTTGTCCAAGGCCGGGCAAAAAATCCTGGGGAACATGTGGATTTTTTGGGATCATATGGGAGATCATGGCAATTGGAAGATGATGGTAAAAAATGGTGTTGTTATAGGGATAGTAAATTGGAAGATCGTGGTTTTGAGACATGAAAACAGGGTGAAACATGGTGGTTTTACCATGAAAAAAATAGGAGTTCATCAGGAAAAGGATGGTGTTTTACAACAAAAATAGAGGTCTAGAACCAACCGCAATGGGGGCATGATACAGAAATAGCTGATGTCCAAAGATCGGGAATGGAGTAGGGCGCCCCATCATTTTGGACCCACCATTTCTGCGATTGTCAAATCAACAAACTTGGGCAGTTTCCCATGTTCTGATGCCCATTTCTTCCCTCGTCCAGTTCCCCAGCATTTGTTTTTCTCATACCCGAAATTGCTGGGTAATGTGGTAAAGCCTAAACCCTGAACCATCCCCAATATTCCTAGATATAGGTGGTACAGTATATACTGTACATTGTACATGTACCCCAAATGGTAGGTGGTGACGTATGAGATCGGCCTGGCGATCAATGTGCAGGGGGTCGGGGGCGCCAGCTTTTCCATCGAAAGTGGAGCTGTTTTTGGGGACGGACTGAACACCAGCAAGATATTAGTTGGGTATTTGGGTAAAACAGCTCCCCAACTATTTGGGTTTTGAAAGTTTTGGGTATTTGTTTTTTAGATAAACCATTTCCAATAGCTGGGTGATGCATATATGGTGATGTGAAGCATTAGGACATTTACCTTTACCAATCCCTGGTGAAAATGGGTATTCGAACGAACAAAAATGGTGCTATGACAAAGCCCCGTTTTTTTTTTGTTTTTGTTTTTTTTCGAAACGTCAACTCATAAGATCATATAATAATGTCATGCAGGGGCCTCAGGACCCATTCAACATATTGTTCAAAGGGCAAATTTCATGGTTGATGGCTACAGGGTTTTTTTCTGTGTGGTTAGCAACCCTTCCGTACCAGACGGATGTCTTTCTGCAACATCCGACCAGCCTCTGGGCAGTACCTAAAACCACATGAAAATCTCATATTAGTGAATAGTAAATATTAATATAGCACGTGAAAGATCACTATGAAAGATGATGAAAGTACTAATATGATATTTACTCTTATCATAGAGGGATTCCAGCCTCTATGATAGCCGACATATATATATATACATTTATTTTCATTAATTTTGTACCTTGCATTTTTCCAAAGTTGTAATCCTACAATCTCATTGATCAGCCTCCAAGGCCTCTCGTTCTGTGATCGGCCAACTGCCCAGCAGCGCCCGCAACGGGGCCCTGATTTCCGCTGGCGGGTTCAGCTGGTGGGGGTTAAATGTCAAACACATTTGGATGTTTATCCCAGTTTGTAAGTGGACAAAGAAACCATCGAGAACATATAGTTAGTATATGATGTATAATTCAGTATATATATATATAGAGTTATTTTTTTTTTACGTGTATAAAGAAGATATCCCATGTGGTATATATGTATTTCACATGATAGACTATTACATAGATGTACTGTCCTATGATAGCTACATACTACCGACATACATACATACATACATACATACATACATGCATACATACATACATACGTACGTACGTACGTACGTACATACATACATACATACATACAAACACTTACATACACATACATACACATACATACACATACATACACATACATATACATACACATACATACACATACATACACATACATACACATACACATACATACACATACATACACATACATACACATACATACACATACATACACATATATACACATACATACGCATACATACCCATCCATACACATACATATACATATACATACATATATGTGAAAGGGGTGGCACTCCCTCACACACTGGCAACGGATGGTCAGTTCCAAACTGAAAGATGGTGGCTCCCAGCCACAAGATAGATGAAACAGTTCCCAACTGATGTATACCAAATGAAGAAATCGTGGATCCAACCACGAATGATGGAGGCCTCCAAGCCCAGACACTATGGCGCCTTTTTGGACCGTTCGCACCGGAAGGTTGTCCCACCCACCGCTTCCCTGTCTTTGAGCAGGGCGCCTATGGATTCGCATCTGAGTCAGGTAAAGGTGCAATGCAAGGCACATGAGGCATGTCAAGTTCATATCAAGTTCACTTTTCACACTCCCCTAAAAGAATTATTGCATTGCTCCCCTAAAAGAATTATCGACCTGTGATTTCTCTTTAAGCCAGGACACTGCAAGTTTACGGTTGGCATTTTGTCTAAGAACCGAAGCTTCATCAAACAAACAGAACATGCCTTTCTGGAGTACAGTTCTTAACAGGGATGGGTCCATCACCTTGGTAAGTGCATCTGCCAACATGATGGTGGTCGGAATCCATCTGAAAATGCAATGGTCTTGGCACTGTTCACGGATCAGGAGCACTTCAAGAGTAGCGCGGTACTCTTCGCAATGGGGCATAGCTGTTCGGCTCACTAGGTCATAGAGACTTCGACAGTCTGTTGTGATGATGCCAACTGGCAAACAAGAATAGGCTTGAGATGGTTCTTTCCAGGGAAACTGAGCAATGGTGAATACACCCCAAAGAAGTCTTAGCCATCCTAATCTATCTGCACTTCGGGACATGGAGTAGGCCTCGGCTGAAAGGGTTGAACGAACTACTCTGGCAATTTTCTTAGAGGACCAGCTAAGGGGGGACATCGGGGCCTCACGATTTTCCTGGAGATCTATTGTAGTAGCGCATATTAAGGTTCCTTGAAAGGAATTGAGCTGTTTTGGGCTAGCAAAGGAGGCATCACCAAACGACACATGAGTAACTTGGGACATGGGGATACTTCTGAAACAGATTTGGACATCTGAGTGTTCCTGAGCTTCACGAAGCACCTTGTTGCACTGCATCAAAGTTTGGACCGTAGGGCTCGACATATCAGTCTGGACCTCTCCAAGTCTGGCAGCCAAGTCAGGACGGGTGTGGGTCACAGCATATTGAAGGCTGCCTATCAAGCCGCGCAACTTGGATTTTTCGGAGTCAGTTACAGGACTGGAAATCTGTTCTCTACGAGGTTTTCCGATGTCGATGGGCAAAATGCGATGAACATAGTCAGCTTGCGAGGCACGGATACTGCAGTCTGGGAGTTGTTCAAGTTCAATACCGGTAAATACAAATTTCCGAGTCTTGAAACTACCGAATGGAAGAACTTTGGAAAGTGCTTGAATCTGTTGATGAAAATATTCATCACCCCCTCCCACACCGTCATCCACATGGACGCCAAGAGCACCGTGAAGTTTTCGCTGAGAGCCCTCTCCAGATTCCAAAATGAATACACATGGTTCAAGAGGATGTGTGCGGAAATTTAGTGTCTTCAACTGTTTGGAAAGTTCTTTGTAGAACAATAATGGAGCGTCAACACGACCATAAGCATTGCCAACCAAAGCACACACTTGATCTTTACTCAACTGAAGTTTCTTACGCAATTCATCTGGTGGCTCCATAGCTAGTGGATTCTGTTCATCAGCTTTTCCACGGAGAAAGGCAGTTTTAATGTCCAGGCTAATGAGATCCCATTGGCACGAAGCAACCAGTTGCAAAATGGTGTTGCGACCTTCTTTGGTCAATGTTGGACTGTCACGCGCCACAGAAGTTAATTGAGGATCTTGGTAGCCTAAGACAACCAGTCGGGCCTTTGCTTTCTTGTGAGCAGGTGCTTGGTCATTCGCTTCAACATTCTTCCAGGTCAGAACCCAGCGAGATCTCAAAATTTGGTCTGGGTTCAAAGATTTACGAAGAATGGGACGCAAAGCATTCGTGGAAATCCAGCAGGACAATTCATTGTCCTTTGCAATGTCGAAAAGTTTTCGTTCACTGTCAGTAAGGTATTTGACTTGGACTTCCGATCTCGCTCTTTGTCCAGCTGCTGCAACACATATCATTTCGCTAGGATTGACCTCTTGATTCCAAGCCAGTACATCTTCAGATTTCATGGGTATTTCAAGTACAAAGCATTCTTCGGTGTTACAATCCAGGGGAGAATCAATGTATGGCATGCCATCTTCAGCGAGACAAATGGTTTCGTTGGCTGTAGCATCTTGCGCAGGATAAAACGTATCAAACACATGGAGAGCTTCTTCAGCAGGTTGTTCAGGGTCAGCATCTTCATGGTTGGTTAGGTTTATCATCTGGAGTAACAATCCATCTTCTTGAAATTCTGTTTCGGTCTCATCGGTGGCAGCTGTTGGAGTTTCTTCTTCTGAGTCAATGGTGGGTGGATGAGAAGCTTCGTGTTCTGGTTGTTCGGATACATGATCTGGTGGAACCTCATTATTGTCCAAGATACTGGGGGAGTATGGATCATCATCAGGGGGAACTTGATTATTCACAATTGATGGGGAGTTCTGGGGAATTGGCATGTGATGCATGTTGTCACGAATGGCACACTCACTATTTGGATTCTGATCCTGCGAGGCATTCCATTCTCTAAGCGACGCTGGACGAAGGCTCTCGGGTGCTCTTCGGATCAGCCGATTGGCATGTGAGAGCCACACAATGGAGGAACCCTCCTGAACAATGACACGAGCAGGTCCATGCCATCTACCGGACTCGCTTCGATTAGGCACGGACCGTTTGGTCCAATACAACACAAGTTGGCCTGGCATGTATGGCCCACGGGTGGGTCTTGACTGTCTCAAAGTCGCCCTACGCAAGGACTCAGCATTGTCAGCAAGGATAAATGCCTGTCGAGCTTTGGTTCTTTTCTCAAGGAGACTTCGAAATCTGTCACAGTCCAGATCATCACCTAATGCAAGGCTGTGAGCGGCAGTAGAGTCATCACTACTCAACGAAGCTGGAAGGCGTGTCGCCTTACCAAGGACAATCTGCTCTGGTGAGTATCCGCGATGTTTGGCCAGTGCATTCTTGGATTGGCAGCATAACATTAGCATTTCATCGAACTGAGACATGTTCTCCATTCTGTGGTCGGTATCAAGTCTGGTGAGCATGTCCTTGAGAATGCCACCGTGGCGTTCAATGCGGCCACGTTGCCATGCTTCTGCTGTCATATGTGTGTGGATATTATTTGCTTGCATGAAATCCAGCCATTGATCCGCTCTGAACTCACCTGCAGGGTCCAGATATATGCTTCGGGGATATCCAGCCCAAAATGACCATAATTGTTGGAACGCTGGTATGGCATGGTCAAGATTGCGACCATCAAGGCGACGGGCAAGATGGAATCCGGATGCTTCATCGTAAATATGAAGAACATAACACTGAATGTTCCCTTTGCCTTTCCAAAAGAAACCATCAAGTCCTACCACATCATTAAACTCTCGGGGAGGATGAAGTTTGGCTGGTCGCTGATGTTGGGGTTTTTGGGACTCCACGCAAGCATCGCAGACAAAATCTTGAGCAGCCCGAACAATATGTTCCGGTGCACCTTGGGTCTTCAGATGAGCTGACAACACGGTTGGATCTGGATGCCCTAAATTCTTGTGAAGTTTGACCAGGTGGCTTTTCTCATCTGACTCAAGTGCACGGAAACATGGGCCATGCAATGGCGTGGGCGGTGGAGCCCAACCTTCACACATCTCGGTGGATTTCGGCATGCTTTGGGATTGTTCGACTGCTCGAACTTGCGAGTTGGATTCAACAGCATGGTGGTCAATTTCCTTACCAGCATCATCAGGCTTAGCAGTTATTTTCCTACCAAAAATGGTGAGAGTCAAACGGCTGGGAAGATTTTTGGCAATTCTCTGAGCTCGAGTGAGGCTATGCCATTCTCGCAGACCTAAATCATGAATTTCTCCAGTCACACGGTGAGCACATAAAGTGTAACACCAAGGAGCATCTTTGGATACGGGTGCGGACAATGGTATTTGATATCTATCAGTGCCACGACAAATGAACATGCAGTCTACTTCAAAATCTTCGGGTGTCAGTTGTCGGACGAGTTCGCAAAGATCATGAGAAACATCCATCTTAAGATTGCCAACTCGAGGAGCTAGTCGATAAGCCATTTTGAAGGCTTCATGCCACACGGAGTCAGAAGACAAAATCTGCCCTGGCACGCAAGAGCTGACTCATCAACTGCAGGGGAATCAGGTGCATCCACGGCGGCTACACGTCTTTTCTTAAAAGCATCAGGTGCAAAACGGGGCCTTTTGGCTGGTGGTTCTTCATCATTTGCAAAGGCTTCTTGGACGGCAGCCAAATGGGTTGCACACAAGGCTTGCGCTAGTGCCTGGACAAATCCCTGGCAATACGTGGCACAAAAGGAGGAAATCCGAACTGATTTCCCATCATGGTGCATCGACCCAGCGATCTGGACATGTTCATGGTTCTTGGGACAATCTTTGTTCATCAGAAATTGTTGAACTTCTGGGGAAGTTGTCCACAGTTGGCTTCGCTTTTTGATAAATTTGGAGGTCTTGGGTAGCTTTAAACCGAAAGCACACATGTCAAAACAAACTCGTTTGGAACACTCTGCAATCGGCTCAAACTCATTGGTGTTGATCATGGATGAACCTAACGGCTGTTCCAGGTGGAAATGGCGATGACGTTTCTGTTGGTATTTACACAGCTGGGCACATAGGTGGATGTGAACTTTCTCGGACTCTTGTTTGCTATGAACATAGTCCCACAAGGCCAGGCTTTTCTGAGCGTTCAGGTGGTTCCATCCACTCCATGGGCCGCACTCCGGAGCAACAAAAATGTGGTCCGGCTCAATTTCATCAATCAGTTCCCAAAGGCGGCGACGGCCAGAGGGTGTTGCCAGATCACCATCCTTTCGAGAAAACCGATAAGCTTTGATCCCTAACTCTCGCAGGCATTCGGTGAGAGGGCTAAACTCACCCGCATATACTTCAAGGACAACCATGGTTTTCTTGGGATCTTTCATGGATGGTGCAGAAACAAAAATGTCATCGGCAATTCTTTGAACAGCATCTAAACTGGTCTTCAAAGCATGTTGGTATTGAACTTCTTCTTTGTGGGGAGTAAATCGGGAACTTTCGATCTTACATGACTCAATCATGCCTGCAAGGTTGGCATCTAAGCTCATGCAAGGCGACGGACACTCAGTGCGTGAACTCCTCGATCCTGAGCAGCACTCGCTTCCAGTTGGGCTCGGCAGAAATCTACGAAATCTTGTTGAGGAGCTGGAAGGGAGTTGTACCTGGACAGGCTCCACTCGAAATACCCCATGTCCTCGCTCAGCACTTGGTAGTACGTTCGGCCAGGGTGTTTGCGACCCCATGAGATCTTCCTTTGACCCCATTCGGCCAAGGTCAGCCTCAGAGCTGACTGTTCCACCAAAGCATTGCTGTTTCCATAGATCTCCACAGTCTCGACTGGTGGTGGTGGTGACATGGGCACTTGATGATGGTTCGATGGAGCTCCCTGACTGGTTTTCCGAGCTTCCTTGGCTGGGTGCCGAAGGGCTTGGCTGTTCTTTGGACCTTTCAAGGAGGACACCATGGAGAAGTTGTCCAAATCGTCTTCGTCGCTCAGTGTTGCCGAAACTGGCATGGCTTGTACATCTTGGGTGCCAATCACGGGCTCCGGCAACGGCAACTGACGGAGTGGAAGGCTTCCACTTCCAGGAATCTGAGCATTCTGATTCTCGGCCAGTTGTTGCAGAAGGGCACGCTGGCGCATCATCTCTTGATTCATGGCACGCAGCTGATTGGTCAGTTGAGGCATTGTTTCCTCCTCGGCTGCATCGGGATTGCGAATCTCGATCATGCTCATTGACACCTGGAGGACAAGAGTCAAAGTCCCCATGATGGTGTTGGCCGTCTCCTTCAGCATGTGAATTGCAGCTTCGCGATTCGACATTCTGGCAAGACTCTCGGAACAATGGGGCGTCAGGCACTACACTGGAATCCAAAGGCTGGTTGGTGAAAACATTCTGATATTTCTGAATGGGCGCAACGGTCAACTGTGCTCGAATAGTGTTTGTTTTCCTAGCGCTGGATGTGTTTTCCCCCACATGACTAGCACTCCCAACAAAGACTTCCGGACAGTTTTTGGATTCCCCAAAATGAGGTTGGCAAAACTCGGACATGTCAATGAGATACAAACCTGTCGCATTGGTGCACAGCTCAATGGTCTTTTGCAGTCTTTGGAGCGTACATGTATCGGTATTTGTGTCAAGGATCCCGCCTAACTGCTTGAAGGCTCTCTTGGAAAACAAAAATGGCGTTGTGCCTTCAACGACTTCCACACCCAGCCACACCTTTTCACAATTTGGACCATAAAGTGGCAGCAAAACCCGGTACATGCTTGTCAGGGTTTGGTTGTTACCGAATCTGAACTTGATCTTGCTTTCACGCCGCTGAACTGTGGATCTAACGTCGGATGGCAAACGCTGCAAAAGACGGCTCAAAGGCTGGGTTCCTATGATACAACGGCTGGCACCAGTATCCAGGATGGCATGGGCAGGCTTTGCTTCACTGGAGTGCAAGGCAGACATCTCAGGGAGATATTCCATCTTCTCAGTCCTGGCAGGCTGCATGACATGTTTCGGATGCCAAAACTGTACACGGTTACACTCTGCGGGAGCAGAGGGCATGAAACACTGGTTGTACGAATGGCTCATGGGCTGTCGCTGGACGGCATTCAGTCTTTTCATGGAATTACTTAACTTTGTCTTATTTTGGGGGTTGTTCCAGGAAAAGTGAACTGACATGAAACATTCCTGTACACAAGGTGAGACGTCAAAGAAATCACGGTGCACCTTCATCAAGTCAGCATCAGTGAAGATCTCGGCATCATCCATCGTCCCACCGGCTTCACGCAGCTCCGACTCCACCAAGTTGGCCGCTGCCGCAGGAGGATGGGAAGTTGAGGGAGCCGTGGAAGAATCACGATCTTTCATAGGGCACTCGGCTTTCCAATGGCCAAGTTGATTGCAATTCCTGCATCTGGACTTCGCGATCTTGGCCAGCAGGTTCTGTCGACCCTGATGTTGGCCCTTGAAGGAACCCTTGTTGAACTTGGACTTGCCCTTGGATTTGCCAGTTCCATGGGCAGGCCAGAAACCACGGCCACGTCGCTTGTCTTGAAGGCGTTGGCGGGCCTCCAAGTAGGAGATCAGAGCCACCTGCATATCAGGGGTGTCCTGGACAAAGTCCTCAAACTCCGTTTCAAATGCCTGAACAGCTACTGCATCTGGATCATCCTGAGACACCAAAGCTTCCAGGAACTCGGAAGAGACTTCGTCATCGTCCGCTAGCATCGATTGCGAGACCATGCAACTGCCATCAGAAGCCTCCTCAGTCACCATCGTGTCGTAGACCTTGGTCTTCTGGGTGGCTTTGCCAGTTTGTACTTCTTGAAAGAACTTGGAACCGAGGAGCCTCAGAGCTTTCATCACTGGTGGGTAGCTCAGCTGAGGATTTTCAAGGAGCACACGCTTCTTGTCATCGGCCGGCAATGTCGATTGCCGCAGCAAGACATATGCTTGGATCTCTTCCAAGGAAGTCTTTCGACTCAAAAGCTCTGAGAACACCGCCTCCATTCTGGCAATGAAGCTGTCATTGGACTCATCTTGCTTTTGGATGGTGCCGTACAATGCGCGCTCGAAGTACTCGAAACGCTCCTGAAAGTCCGTTGCACCCCAGCTGCCTCCAATGGCATTCACAAGGGTCTTGATTCCATCCAAGCTCTTCACCTTGAGCTTCTGCGCATCCAGTTTGGAGATGGCTGCAAAGGCTGACCCCTCCACCAAAAGCGCAGCACGAGGTGCTAAAAGGTCTAGGTATTCAATCGGCCACATAGCCGCCAAGAACTCTAGCTTCTTCACATACTCCTGGACATTGGTGATTCCTGGCTGGAATCGTGGAATTGCCGCCCAGGGCAATTGGGAGGCAGAAATCACTGGTCCATCCGCTGCATCAGGAGGAACGGGAGGAAGTGCCTCATCCCTCGGCATCATGATGGCCCTGGATCACCAGCTCTTTCGCTGCAAAAATCAGCAGCGGAGCACCACAGCTCCGCTACCAGTGTGAAAGGGGTGGCACTCCCTCACACACTGGCAACGGATGGTCAGTTCCAAACTGAAAGATGGTGGCTCCCAGCCACAAGATAGATGAAACAGTTCCCAACTGATGTATACCAAATGAAGAAATCGTGGATCCAACCACGAATGATGGAGGCCTCCAAGCCCAGACACTATGGCGCCTTTTTGGACCGTTCGCACCGGAAGGTTGTCCAGCCCACCGCTTCCCTGTCTTTGAGCAGGGCGCCTATGGATTCGCATCTGAGTCAGGTAAAGGTGCAATGCAAGGCACATGAGGCATGTCAAGTTCATATCAAGTTCACTTTTCACACATATACATACATATACATACAAATATACATACAAATATACATACAAATATACATACAAATATACATACACATACATACATATACATACATATACATACATATACATACATATACATACATATACATACATATACATACATATACATACACATACATACATATACATACATATACATACATATACATACACATACATACACATACATACACATACATACATACACATACATACATACATACATACATACATACATACATACATACACATACATACATGCACATACATACATCCATGCATACATACATACATACATACACATACATACACATACATATACATACATATACATACATATACATACATATACATACATATACATACATATACATACATATACATACATATACATACATATACATACATATACATACATATACATACATATACACATACACATACACATACATATACATATACATATACATATACATACATACATAAACATACATACATATACATACATACATACATACATATACATAAATACATACATATACATACATACATACATACATACATACATACATACATATACATACATAGACATAGACATAGACATAGACATAGACATAGACATAGACATAGACATAGACATACACACATACACACATACACACATACATACATACATACATACATACATACATACATACATACATACATACATACATACATTATGAATGGCAGCAAGAACTCTGAGATGATGCAACTGAAAAGGAATGAAGATGGTCTCTTTGATCTCAATGGTCCAAACCAACAAAAATGGGATCCGTCTGTAAAAATGGTTACCAACCTCCGGTGTGAAAATTGGTGGTAACCACTACTGCAAATCCACGCCACACCAACAATTCCCTGTGATAAGCTCTCTGCTGTTTTCGCCAAGCAGACTGTTCAAAAGGCCGTCCACAGCCAAATCCCCCAGCACTGATCGGGTGACCACACCCAGGCACCGAACGTGTGAACCCTGTCACACCTATGGCAAAAAGGCTCTCTTAAGCCCACCCACCCGCGAACCTGCTGCCCTGAGCCAGAGCCTATGGTTCGAAGATTGATCAAGGTTCCAACCTGACAAGGCAAAGTGAGGCACCCACACTCGTCAAAAACATTCTGTTGATCAATCTTGGTTCAAAAGCGGATCTGATGGGCTTTCCTTAAGCCATTTGATTCGATCGCGGGTCTGGGCACGGCTCCTGAGAATGGAGTCTTCGTCATGCAATCTGTAGTATCCTATTTTGAGAGTGGCTCTGAGAAAGTTGGCTTGCATTATCTTTGTCAGTGCGTCAGCCAGTTGGGCACCACCATGGACCCATCTTAGTTGGATGCCCTCCTTGAGGGATTCTTTTATGGATCGGGCCATGAGTTGTGTTCTAAATTCCGTGCATGACGGTGGTGCTGTCCTTGTTACTAGGTCGTATAAACTCTTGCAATCAGTGACTGCCAAGTCAGAAAATTCAGGCAGTGTTGGTACTGAGATGGCAGGCTCAATCTTTAAAAGGGATTCCTCAGGATTACGCCAATTCGTGTCAGGATTATGGAGCCATCCCCAAAACAGGCGAAGCCATCCAAGTTGGTCTAGTGCTGCAGCAAGGGACACTGTTTCTGCCGCTAGGGTGCTCGTCACTACCTTCTGAATTTTCTTGGAACCCCATGTGATCGGGCTGATAGGACACTGGATATTCTCACAAATAGACTTGTGGGTGCCAACAATGACTAGACCTGTGTGTGAATCGGGCTTTCTTTGGGATGCGAATGAAGCGTCGGAAAATGCCATGAACCGAAAATCTTCAACAGGTATGGGTCTGATTCGAATGGTCACATCATGATGTTTCTTTGCCTCATGCAGTAAACGATTCCCTTCTAGGAGTGTTTCGATTTTGGCTTTGTTGATTGATGATTGCAACATGGATAGTCTACTGGATAGGTCAGGTCGTGTGTTCACTGCTGCATATTGGAGGGAACCTACGAGTCCACGTAGGTGTCCTCGCTCTGATTCCGTGACATCGGCCTCTACCTGACACTTTCTTTGACTGTCAATTGGGATAGGTTTAATCTTTCTCACATACTGGGATTGGCTCAAGATTATACTATAATCTTCCATTTGGGTGAGGTCAATACCCGTGAAAGTGAAGGATCCCAATTTCTTTGAACCGAATGGATACTTTTCTTCAAGTTTCTTGATAAGCTCTTGGAATTCCTGATTGCCCCCGCAAACTCCATCATCAACGTGAATGCCAAGTACACCAGATAATTTTTGGGGATTAGTTTTATCACGAAGTACGAATGTGCAAGGACAAAAGGGGCTTACCTCCATTCCTAGTGACGTCAGTTCAGAAACCAAAGCACAATACCACAAGTATGGGGCGTCGATTAATCCGTATGCACTTTTGTTGAGCTTGCCTATTTCATGGGGTTGCATACCCATGGCTCGCCGCAGCTCTGGAACTGGATCTAAGCCCACGATGCGGTCGGATTGTGGTCGACCCTGAAGAAACGCCGCCTTGATGTCGAATGACATTAGTTGCCATCCATGTGAGGCGATGGCTTGGAGGATGATCATGCGAGCTGTCTTACCAAGGGTGGGACTATCTCTGGGGATTTCATCTATCTTGGGGTCTTGGTATCCTAGGACAACTAGACGTGCCTTGGGTTTATGGGTCTTACTAGAGCATCTTTGGGAAATCTCATCTTGATTGACATCATCTAGTGGCTTCCAGGTTAAAATCCATCGACTGCGCATGACCTGTTCGGGTGGAATCTGATTCTTCAAAACTTTGGTGATGGTATTGGTTTGGATCCAATTGTCAATTTCCTTTTGTTTGGCTTGTTCAAAAAGAGTCTTTTCTTGAGGGGTGAGTTCTGACATTTTTACTTCGGTGCGTTGTTTGGCACTGCCGCTGGACAGCAGAGTCCATGCAACTTGATCACTCTCCGCATTGGCATCTTTGGGCACGGCATGAGCAGGCACATCGAATTCACAGCGAAACGCAAAATCAGGGTGCTCAGTTGAAAAATAAACTTCATCATCGTCATCGATGCACAAAAGTTGAACTGTGGTCTGTTCTGAATCGGATCCAGATTCTTGAGAATTGATGGATGGCTGGTGACTATTAATTCCTGGCTCCTGATCTGGCTGTGCAAGTGATTCGGCTGTGCTCCCAAGGCGTTCTCGGGCCACCGCTGGTTCTGGCATGTGGGCTGGTGACTCGATGGGCTCCTCAATGTTTTCCAATGGGACATGTTCATCAATCGTGGGAAGTTGATTCATTCTGTCGATTTGGTTCTGGATATGAGTAAGGTCACTGGGGAGTTCGGGACCCTCGGGTTCACCCTCCGCTGGCAGTGATCTCCTAACGTGTTCCGGTGCGCTGCGAAAAAGTCGGCCACCTTGGGTCGTCCACACAGTGTGGTTACTATCTTGAAGGACTACATGATGGGGACCAATCCAACTAGGTTTATCACGGGACTGTGTTCTCCACACCATGACCCATTGACCTTGTTGAAACTGACCTCTCGAAGGGCATGACTTTCGGAGCACAGCACGACGGATGGCGTCTGAATTGTCGGCAACATGAAATGCTCTGCGTGCACACTCTCTGATTTGCAAATGTTTCCTAAAACCACCAACTGCATCTTGTTCAAGTTCTTGGATAGCTGTCATATGGCTAGGAATTGATTCATCACTGAGTATGGATCCAGGAAGCCGACTTTGTTTTCCAAACACGATGATTTCAGGAGCATACCCATGTTTGATACTCAGCATATTTTTGGATTGAATGCATAAGTTCAGGGTAGTTTGAAGATCTTGATAGTTATTTACAGGAATCTCTGTATCGACTTTGGTAATCATCTCTTGGAGAAACATGCCATGTCGTTCGATCTTTCCGTTTTGCCAGTGGGCTTCAGGGCAAGTGGTAGTGGTATTAATACCAAAACGCTGACAAAACGTGGTGAATTCCTCTCCATTGAGTTCCGTTGCTGAATCCACTACAAGGTGCTGTGGCGCACCTGCCCATGAGACCCAATGTTGATTAACCAAATGAACTACATCACTACCAAGGCGTGAAGGGGCTGCAACTGCGACATGAAAATGTGTACCTGCACCCAACATGTGATAGAAATGAAAAGTCTTCCCTTGGCTGTTGGTCCATGAGATCCCATCCATGTACACCTTGTGATTGAAATCCAACATGGGCTTCAAACTTCCAGGGCGCTGATGTTTTGGGGCAACATGAGTGGCACATACTGAGCAACGGAGTTCTCTGGCAGCATTGACTACCTCAGCACGCTGACCCATCGATTGCAAGGCTTTGGCTAACCGTTCATTACTTGGATGTCCAAGGTTACGGTGCATCAGTTTGATCTGATTCTGTTCCCACTTGGGTAGGCTGCAGAAACGTGACGTTTGTTCCCGTAGGGGACCTGACATTGTCTCTTCATCAAAGCCTGCTGGTGATGAATCTTTGGCCTGCTGGTCTTCGCCAGCTGGCAATCGGACTGCAGAGTCGTGGTGCGAGTGTGGCTGCCAACTATCAGATGAACTGCTGGTCGATTCCTCTACCATCGGCTGAGGTGCAGTGCTTGGCTCACTTCTAGCATCACGACTGGGTTCTTCTGGAGGGTTGGATGATGTTCCTGGTGTGTTCACTTTGAAAGCATCATCCCTACGGCAAGCAAACATTGTGATGTTCAATCGACATGCATGAGATGGCCTGACCAGCTGTCGATGGGATAATTGATCAAACTTCTCCCAATGCTTTTCAAATGCCACGTGACTTGATGGCCGGAGGATCATTAGAGATTTTCTGAATGGGGCTTCAGCGGCATGGATATGGCTTAAAGGGGCCATGGTCCTGTCCATTCCTCGACATGCCACTACACTAATCAGCTGCATATCATTGAACATCCCTTGAAGTGGTGTGAGTATATCGGATTGTGTGATTTCATGCTTTCCAACTCGAGGGACAATTTTGTTGATTCTGGAAATTATTTCTTGGCAATCTTCCAAACAAGGTTCAACATACTGTTTGTGACCAAGTCTTCTGCGTTTGACCAACTGTTCTGCCTTTGGGATCGGATGCACGATTTCTGTCAGTGCAAAATTGGCCTTGCGGCTTTGGCTGTTGATCACCCTACCCGCGGGATTTGACACCAGGGTAGGTTCCCCCACTTGGCACTGGGAGAGTGCAATCAGTCCGGAGCTCCACTGAAATGGCCATTGGCGTGGCGTTTCGGGGGTACACTTCAGAAAACACCGACCTTCGAACCAGTTGTCCATCAACATGTGTTTGACCCTCTATCACCTGATGTGCATGCTGTTTTCGACACGTTCGGCCTTGCAATGCTTGGAACATAGCTGGGCTAGTCGTCACCACCACCAGGCGTTTTCGCATGGCAAGTCCATTTTCCGGGTCCTTCAACCCTCCGACTTCACACAAGTCGAATTCACACATTTGGGTAAATTGGTGGATTTCCGAAATACCAGGTTGAGAAAACATCAGTGATTTAGAAGGTTGCTCCCAATGGAAGTGTCGTCCATGCATGATTTGATGACGATACAACACAATACCCAAGGCGATTTGATACAACAACTGTTCCCTCTTCTGCAAATGCTCTTCTAAGCTCTGGACAGACCTCGCTGAGTTGAACTGAGACCATCTGGACCATGGACCACATACTGGTGAGTACCATATGTTACGTGGCTGGTGAACAATCAACAGTTTGAACAAAGCATGTCTACCTGATGGTGTGGACAAGTCTCCCTGTGTCAAACCGAATCGGAACGCTGACCCTCCAAGTTGTTGCACCTGATGTGTCACGGGTGATTGTTGGCTGCAAAACACTTCCCCAAGTACAAATGGCCTACCAATTGGATGGTGTTGGGACATTGCGGCATCAAGTTCCTTTTCACATTGGCGAATCAGTGATTGTAACCTCTTGACATCAGGGTGCACACTTGAGTCGGAAGGGCATGACTGATCCTCATTGATCACGCTCCTTCCTGGTCCTCGGGCACTGGCTGATGGATGCCCGCTTGGTGTTCCATGTGCTGGATCACTTGGGTCAATGCATTCTCGAGATGCAACATGCGAGTCTGCATGGCCATCATGTCGGCATTCATGGGGGTTGGTTCCGTATATCCACTCTGGTACGTCCCTAAATTCCACTCTTCCTCTTCTGCCTCCATGTCTGGCAAATGCACGATCTCGGAGTGAGGGATCTGGCTGGCCGCCTTTGGCTTGGCCTTGATCTTGGGAACGGGACGGAGACTCATGGGCAGCTGGCTGGACGCAGCTTGGGACTCGGCCGGTGGGGCAACACGAATCGGTGTTTGACTGCGTTCGTGTTGTTCCACACGAAGAGTTATGTACCGAACGATCAACCGGTGAGACATCTTGGTGGACTCGGCATACTTGCTGGCTATGAACGAGATCCACTCTTGATCTTCCTCCCAAACTTGATGAAAGGGGCGTCCCAGATGCTTCTGCCCGAACTGCACCTTCTGGTCCTGGAGGTCCGTCAGTGTGAGATGGGAGATGTCTTTCAATTCTCCGCTGTCTTGTTCCTGGAGATCCTTCAACCTCTTGCTCAGCGACATGGTCTACGGCCGGAAGGGTTGGACACTCGGTGGATTCACTGGGACTTGGATGACTTTGAGACTTCAGCACAGCTACCATGGTTTCAGGTTGGGTCGCATGAACGTTGAGAGTGTCATGTGGCTCTCCCTTGGATTCACTGAATGGAAATGGCACCTGAAGAGGTGATGGTGATTGATATTGATCCTGCTGAACTGGCACTGATCCTGCTATCTTTTCCTTCTGGCGGACGGTCACAAAGGTCTGATGAATCTGCGTGGGCTCACCTACGGATTGTTCCAAGGTTGGCCTAGCTGCCACTGCCAAGCTGTTCACATCAATGAGAAACAAACCCCGAGAAGTGAGCTTTAATGGAACTTCACAATCCAGCAGTGGGCTGATGAGGCAACGGTTTTCGCAGTCAATCCTGGCTCGGAGTGCTCTCATCAGAGAATTCGACAACAGAAACGGGGTACCTCCCTTCACAATGGCTACTTTCAACTTGAGACGACCAATCGGAAGAACAATTGCATAGCTACTATGGAGAACTCCCTCATTGCCAAACTTGAAAGTAATGTCACAACTGGTTTTGGTGACCTTCTCTTTGATTGCAGGGTCCAAGCCATTCAAAAGATCGGCAACATGATTGGATCCAATCACCGTCTTCGATGCTCCTAAGTCTAAAACACCGTGAGTGCCATGGGTTGCAAACAGAGCACACTGCACGTCCTGGCTGGCTGACATGATTGGAATGGTGTTGGATCTGATGGATGTTCTTTTGACATCCTTCGCAAAATGCGATTGGCAAAACGGCTCAGGCACTGGATGATCTGTACACGGAATCGGATGCGCATCACTGGACCGGGCACTACTCCTCAGACGGCGGTGGAGCCGTTCATGGGCTGTTAGTCTATGATCACTAGTCCCCACCCTGGGATGTTGACCTACATATTCCCCCGGAATACAACCTTGGTGACTCATCCTAGGATATCTCATAGACGCAAAACTTACAAAACTGACAGCTGAAACAACCTGAGGTTCATGATCTATGTCAAGAGATGGCATCAAATCATCAGGGAGATTCACGAACTCGAGTGGCAAGCTGTCCATGGCTTCTGAATCAGCTATCACAGTTGTGGTGGGTGCTGTGTTACCACCGGATGTCGAAGGTGCTGAACCTGTTGAAGTGCCACGCATAGGGCACTCTGCCTTCCAGTGGCCACGTTGCCCACAGAGACGGCATGAACTGTTCATGATTCGATCTTGGAGTGACCGTTTTGGTCGATTGTCCCATGAATTGCTCCCCTTGCCCTTCCCAAATCCTTTGTTGAACGACCCCTTCCCCTTGCCAGCATTTGGGAAAGGACGAGCTGGAAAGAAACCTCGATTCTTGAAGCGCTCCTGCAGTCGATGACGTGCCTGTTGATAGGACACCATTGCCACTGCCAGATCTTGGTCTTCCTGAACCGTATCCTGAGCGGCTTGTTCGAAGTCCAGAATCAACGCAGCATCAGCGTCACCTTCGGCTGCTAAAGCTTCCAAATGCTCATCATTCAACATCTCTTCAGGCATATGAGGGGGATCTTCATTTTCATAAGGATCATCATGGGTTTCACTCACAAGTACTGTCTGATCATACACCTTCGTCTTTGCACCTTTCTTCAAACCAGTGACATCATGAAAGAATGCAGCACCAAGTAAACGGATGGCTTCACTGACTTTCTTCATCGTCAGTGATCCCTCAGCCTCACTTTCCATTACCACACGCTTTTTGTCCTCGGCCGACAAGCAGGAACCCCGCAAGGTGATGTAAGCCTGCAGGCTTTCCAACGTCAGTTTTCGAGCCAGAAGTTTGCTCCACATGACGTCTGACCTTGCCAGAAAACTGTCATTCGACTCATCTGCTCGCTGTATGGTATGGAAAATGGTTTCCTCCGCCTCCTGGTACTGTTTCTCCAAAGGGATTCTTCCCCACTGACCCCCTAGGATCTCAATCAGCCGCTTCACCGAAGATTCCTCGCCGGTCAGAAGCTCCGACTGGTGCAGCTGCAGCTTCGCAAATGCCGAGCCTTGGCAGTTGAGTATGAGGCGGGTAACCAGCTCAGTGATCTTCGTCTTGGGCCAGGCCGCCATGACCAACTCAACACGCTGCTGATACTGTACCATGTCATCCTTTGAAGGGTCAAATGAAGGAACCAGAGATGCCAGCTGATTGCTGACCCCCACAGCGCCGGTCGATTCTGCTGCAGTTGTCATTGAACCCCTGGATGCTCCTTCACTGGAGCTCCGCTACCAGTATGAATGGCAGCAAGAACTCTGAGATGATGCAACTGAAAAGGAATGAAGATGGTCTCTTTGATCTCAATGGTCCAAACCAACAAAAATGGGATCCGTCTGTAAAAATGGTTACCAACCTCCGGTGTGAAAATTGGTGGTAACCACTACTGCAAATCCACGCCACACCAACAATTCCCTGTGATAAGCTCTCTGCTGTTTTCGCCAAGCAGACTGTTCAAAAGGCTGTCCACAGCCAAATCCCCCAGCACTGATCGGGTGACCACACCCAGGCACCGAACGTGTGAACCCTGTCACACCTATGGCAAAAAGGCTCTCTTAAGCCCACCCACCCGCGAACCTGCTGCCCTGAGCCAGAGCCTATGGTTCGAAGATTGATCAAGGTTCCAACCTGACAAGGCAAAGTGAGGCACTCACAATACATACATACATACATACATACATACATACATACATACATACATACATACATACATACATACATACATACATACATACATACATACATACATACATACATCACACATACATACATACATACATACATACATACATACATACATACATACATACATACATACATACATACATACATATACATGCATATACATACAGACATACAGACATACACACATACAGACATACAGACATACACATACAGACATACACTCATACAGACATACAGACATACATACAGACATACAGACGGAGAGACACAGAGACACAGAGACACAGAGACAGAGACAGAGACATATACACATACACATACACATACATATACATATACATGCACATATACATATACATACAGACGCATACATATACCCACATATACATACACATACATACACATACAGACATATACATACACATACATACCTATACATACCTATACATACCTATACATACCTATACATACCTATAGATACATACACATACGTACACATACGTACACATCCGTACACATACCTACACATATATACACACATACATACACATACATACACATACATACACATACATACACATACACATACGTACACATACGTACACATACGTACACATACGTACACATACGTACACATACGTACACATACGTACACATACGTACACATACATACACATACATACACATACATACACATACATACATACATACATACACATACATACACATACATACACATACATACACATACATACACATACATAGACATACATACACATACATACACATACATACACATACATACACATACATATACATACATATACATACATATACATACATATACATACATATACATACATACATACATATACATACATATACACACATATACACTAACATATACACAAACATATACGTATACATATACATACACATACACATATACATACACATATACATACACATATACATACACATATACATACATATACATACATATACATACATATACAGACATATACAAACATATACATACATATACATACATATACATATATGTACATACTTATACATACATATACATACATATATATATACATATTAGAGCTGCACAATGAGAGTTACTTGGTTTATCATCCCAAGGGTTTTTTGTTTGTGGGTGGCACAGTGACACAGTGTTTACGGGTTATACCCTCAGGTTCCTTGATTAATTTATAGATGTGTTGGTCTTCAAGCCCGGAGAGCTTTAGAAATTCATGGAACCAGCGGTCCGCTGGGCTTGGAGGCCACGAGGTCTCTTGGGGAGTTTCCATGATCAAAATCCCTTCCACCAAATCATTATATATGTATATAGTATATATATATAATATATATATACAATGTATGTATATATATCTATATATATTCAAAAATGGTCTCGGGTTATTAGATGATTATTTGCTACATGGTTATTATTTTAACGCATTTGTGTAGCTAGAATCTTGATCTAGTTTAATTCAATCCCCGCTATACCCCACTATGATTCGGATAAAACCCAATGAAATCTTGTAATTTGACGATATTTGACGAACGTATCACGATGTTGATCAGACTTAGATTTGACGAAGTCGATTCTTTGGATTTTTTTCATTAGCAAATGAGATAATATGGGAAATCGACAGGGAATAAGCCCATCCCCCTATATCAAATACAGGGGTGGTCTTACAACATTCAAGGCTGGGATCAAGAATGGAATCATAGGGCTCTGCTTGTAGTGGCCCTTGGACAGGCAGTTCCCAATCATTCCAGCAACAAATTTTGAATGCCGAGTTGGTCTTGGGAGTTTGTTCCAATGCTCAAACAGAGAAGCAGTTTGGCTCAATTGGAGAAACTGGTGCGTTACATTAGAGTTTCTTGAGATATGCTTCAAGTTACTGTAGCTTTGCCAAGCGGTTGCAGTGAGAAGTTTTCTATTTCTCAGTCCTCCAAAGTAGGGGACTTGAGGGTTCTGGCCCAGAAATCCTTTCAACGTGGCTTCTTGAGGCTTGTGGCTGCAGACCATCACGCGTTGGATCCTGCAGTGTCTCTGCAAGCTGCGGGACTTGAAGATGGAGACCACCTGACGGCTATTGTCCTGGAGGCAAAGCTGGCGGCAACAGCAAGAGCTTTTGCCTTGTATTGCTCTGGAGGTGACCGAGTTGTGACTTGGGGCAAACCCGACTGGGGTGGCGACAGCTCTGGAGTCCAAGATCAGCTCAAGGGTGTCCAGCAGCTTCAAGCTACAAGTGAGGCATTTGCTGCGATCCTGGCTGATGGGTCTGTCGTGACTTGGGGCATTCCACACTATGGTGGTGACAGCTGTGAAGTCCAAGATCAGCTCAAGGGTGTCCAGCAGCTTCAAAGTACAAGTGAGGCATTTGCTGCGATCCTGGCTGATGGGTCAGTCGTGACTTGGGGCAATCCAGAGAAAGGTGGTGATAGCTCTGCAGTCCAAGATCAGCTGAAAGGTGTCCAGCAGGTTCAAGCAACGTGGTTTGCTTTTGCTGCGATCCTGGCTGATGGGTCAGTCGTGACTTGGGGCAGTCCAAGCTCTGGTGGTGACAGCTCTCAAGTCCAACATCAGCTCAAGGGTGTCCAGCAGGTTCAAGCAACGTGGTTTGCTTTTGCTGCGATCCTGGCTGATGGGTCAGTCGTGACTTGGGGCAGTCCAAGCTCTGGTGGTGACAGCTCTCAAGTCCAACATCAGCTCAAGGGTGTCCAGCAGGTTCAAGCAACGTGGTTTGCTTTTGCTGCGATCCTGGCTGATGGGTCAGTCGTGACTTGGGGCGATCCAGACTCTGGTGGTGACAGCTCTGAAGGCCAATATCAGCTCAAGAGTGTCCAGCAGGTTCAAGCAACGTGGTTTGCTTTTGCTGCGATCCTGGCTGATGGGTCTGTCGTGACTTGGGGCAGTCCAGACTCTGGTGGTGACAGCTCTGAAGTCCAATATCAGCTCAAGGGTGTCCAGCAGCTTCAAGCAACAGGCCATGCATTTGCTGCGATCCTGGCAGATGGGTCAGTCGTGACTTGGGGCGACCCATACTCTGGTGGTGACAGCTCTGAAGTCCAAGATCAGCTGAAGGGTGTCCAGCAGCTTCAAGCAACTAAGCTGGCATTTGCTGCGATCCTGGCTGATGGGTCAGTCGTGACTTGGGGCAATCCAGAGAAAGGTGGTGATAGCTCTGCAGTCCAAGATCAGCTGAAAGGTGTCCAGCAGGTTCAAGCAACGTGGTTTGCTTTTGCTGCGATCCTGGCTGATGGGTCAGTCGTGACTTGGGGCAGTCCAAGCTCTGGTGGTGACAGCTCTCAAGTCCAACATCAGCTCAAGGGTGCCCAGCAGGTTCAAGCAACGTCTGGACCGTCTGGTGCATTTGCTGCGATCCTGGCTGATGGGTCAGTCGTGACTTGGGGCTCTGGGGCCTCTGTTGGTGACAGCTCGGCGGTCGCAGGGCAGTTTGCATATGGGTTTGTCTGAAAATAGGGTATATTCCCAATTATAGCCATTTAATAGGGATAATGATCATTAACCATTGGGTTTAGGGGTACACTATTTTCAGACACACCCATATGTGCAACCATGTTGTTGAAAAAGTCGCCATTTGCTGCAGAACATTCTGCTGCGTTGATTGATCGGCGCGATTCATCCTCATCCCAATGGAAGGTTGAGGTCAACTTTCACCTGAATGAATCCTTGGTATGGTTGCTCAACCGAGAAACCACATGGTGGTTATAGCGGTTATACCCAAATGGTAGGTTTTCCAAATGGCCAAATGGTCAGAAACATCCCTATGAAAAATTCCCCAGTGCTCGGGAACCCCGAAAATATGTCTATCCAAGAATTGGATGGTTAATGAATATTTAACTAAGATCAGTACCAACTAATCTATATTTTTGTAATGGCTAATCTACCATCTTCAGTATCAGTACCAACTACTCATCCATTAATGATTAGTACCATATAAAATACTAAGATCAGTGGTACTATTAATGGTACTATGAATGGTACTATGAAAATGCTACTTAGTTGGTAATATTCAATATTCATCCACTAACATATATGGGTGTGTCTGAAAATGTCGTGTACCCCTTTTTCCCCAATGGTTTTGCTGATCATTATCCCGTTTTTAAATGGCTATGTCATTGGGAAGATTAACCCAACATTTTCAGACAAACCCATATCTTCCAATACTAAATCAGTGGTCCCCCTGGGGTTTTCACCTTTGACGTCACCAGTCCAACGAGGCTCCATCGAACTGGCGGCGGATGAGCCGGTGGCCAGTTGGACTCACGTGGCTGTGGGGAGCCATGGAAGCCACGGTGCCATGGAAAAGGTTCTGATAGTTACCCGGCCTGGAAAACCATAGGAAAACCATAGGAAAATGGAGGGTTTAATGGGAAAACCATAGGAAAACCATAGGAAAACCATAGGAAAATGGAGGGTTTAATGGGAAAACCATAGGAAAACCATAGGAAAACCATAGGAAAATGGAAGTTTACCCTCTGATAAACTACTAACATAACGAACTGGAAAGATCCACCATATGGACCATAGCTGGGAAAATCCACGACATTTCGACTGGGCCATGGCTTCAAGTTCGCAAACTGTGAATGTTTACCAGAGGGTACCGCGATTTGCAAGGGATTTCACCCACTCTTGGTTGATGAATGTTGATGATATAATTACTTATTTCACTGGATTTGACGTGATGGACTCCTGGCGCACCTGAATGCTAAATTTACTTGGAAGTGCATCAAAAACATCGTCTTTTTGTTGCTGAGTTTATCCCATTCGTAAATGGCTTGTAACATGTTCTAACCTGATCTAATTCAGCCGATGCCAACTGGCACAGTCGTGGAAGTCCAGTCACATTGTCAGCACGATGTTTCTCAGAAAGTGGATCCATAGATGGAACTGGTTGTTCTGTTGGGCTTCCCGACATCGCCTGCCCAATGTCACCACGTGTGAAGCTTCTCGTTGGCCATCTTGCCGATTTGTCCGGAGTAGAATACAGTGAACACGGAACCAAGACTTCCTGATATTTGATCCATTTGAGGATCTCAAGGCCAAGGTTTCCTAACAAATTCCTGGAACCAAACCAGCGACTTTACGATTCTTAAGTCTTACTGGTCCTTCCATTTTCCCTAGAGATTTCTCTAAGATAACCCTACGGCAATTTCTAGATGATTTACCGTCGACCCAAAAAACATCGGCAGTTTAAATCGTTTTTTTGGCAGAATTCTACTTTTCTATCTTTTTTGGGATGACTTTTCATACATTTTCAATGGCTATGTTGGATTACCAAAGGGCAATCCCAGGTCAATCCCAGTTGATGGACAGAGTTTTTCCAGGTCTTCTCCAAATCAATCCTGGCAGAGCAAACCACGCCACTGGGCGGTCCCATCATCCCCGGGATATTGTGGAGAATTTCAGCAAAACTGAAAATTTTTGTCAGATTTACTGGTTGGTGGTGACTGGAACCATGGAATTTTACGAATGACTTTCCCATCATACTGGGAATGGAATAACCATCCCAACTGACTATATAATTTATTTTTCAGAGGGGTAGGTATACTATACCACCAACCAGTTTATATGATATAAATCTTATAAATCACCAGCTTTGCATGGGATTTCATGGGGACTTTCTGGGGATTTGTCGAAAAATCTCATGGCGATTCCAGTGTCCTGAGATCCTGGAGATTTCATTGAGAAGCACATGGGAATTTCATGGGATGTCTGTGGCGATCTCTTGGGATATGTAGAATGAGTGGGATAAAAATAGTTATCTAATGGGATTTTATAGTGATTCAATGGGATATTAATGGGATTTACCCTATGGTAATTTGTTACACAGCGAACTGGAAGCCATGGCCCAGTCGAAATAGAGGATTTTCCCAGCTATGAAATATGGTAAAAATCTTTCCAGTTCGTTATGTAAACGTTTATCAGAGGGTACCCTCTGGTAAACTAACATAGCTATGGAAAATCACCATTTTTCATGGGAAAACTCACTATAAATGGCAATTTTCAATAGCTATGTTAGTCTATCAGAGGGTAACTATCAGAAGTAGGAAATCATGGGAATATGATGGGATCAACCTCCGGCAGTATGATATTAGGATGTGTCTTAAAAAACCCAAAAACGACGACGACATTTTTTGCTGTAGGGAAAATGACGAGCCCATTTTTGTATTGCGGCGCCCTATCTTAAGACAAACCGACATTCGGAATGGTTTCTGGCTGGTGATCTGAGCAGTTTTTTTTTTAAAGAGCCGGTTGATTGAGGATTGGATATACCCTCTGGTAAACTAACGTAGCTATGGAAAATCACCATTTTTAATGGGAAAATCCACTATAAATAGCCATTTTCAATAGCTATGTTATATTACCAGAGGGTATAGGGGACTATATAGTACCCAAAATATATTGGGTGTTGGTATTATCATGATCTATTACCCTCTGGTAACTGGGTCGTCATGTTACTTGCTTGGATCGTTTTTTTTCGTTCCACCCCTGGGTGATGTGAGGCCTGCAGCCTTGCAAATCCACGACACCGATGCACTGGTGGAAAATGCCGCCTGGAGAGAAACCGGGGGCCCGGGGCCAGGGCGGTGAGACAGGAAACTGCTTGGAGGACCTGGCGGACCCGATCACCATAGGGTCGAAGATGAAACACGGGGGAATCAGGGGATTTTCACCAGTGGGATGAGCCTTAGACTCTTAGACCTGCCATGGGTCATTTTTTTTTTTAATCCTGGAGGATCAAGATTTGAGAGAAGTACCCTCTGGTAAACTAACATAGCTATGGAAAATCACCATTTTTAATGGGAAAATCCACTATAAATGACCATTTTCAATAGCTATGTTTGACATAACCAGAGGGTATCAATGTACACCACTTGCAGTGCCCATTGTTGGGTGCCCATTCCGTTTGATCGATCGCTTGGTTGTGGGAATGGCAACAGACGACACTCCCAGCAACATCCAAAAGCGATCATAGAAAACACATCCAAGTCATCCAAGTCAGTGCCAGTATCAAGTCATATTCAACATATTTTTCATATGGATCAATTTGCCCTCTGGTAATTTGTTACATAGCAAACTGGAAAATCACCACCATGCTATGTAGCTGGGTAAATCCACGACATTTCGACTGGACCATTTTCAATAGCTATGACCATAGTTGGAGGGTAGCAATTCACATCCATCCATTCCATCTGTAAAAAGTGGCATGGCACGCAGATTCACCAAATTTCATGGAGAATATCATCATGAATATCCCATTATCATGATATTAATTGACATCAAATAAAGTATCATCAATAAATATGACATTCATGATAAGATTGCAGTATCAGTATCATTATATTCACTATCATGATATTCATTATCATGGATTAATGGATAATCTTATCATATTTATCATTAATAATTCATGAAATATTCATCCATAATTCATCCATGAAAATTCATCCATAATTATAAGAAATTCATGATCCACAAATAATTCATCCATTGTTCCCGAAAGATCATCCCTGTGCCCTGCCGGCTTCCACGGACCACTTCGAGGTGTCGTTTCCCGACCTGGACCTCGACAGTGGACAGATTGGTGGAACGTTGTCCTGGCGCGGAGCGCCACGGATTCGATGGGGGATTGAAGCAGCCCCAAAATACGGAGATTTTGAACCAACCATAAAAAAGAACTTGGGATCATGGGAATTCATGGGAAGCTATGGAAGGAAAAGAGCCAATGATTTTCAATAGCTATGTGAAGTTACCGGAGATTTCTGGGAGTGAATGGGGGATTTGTGGGCAGTAATGGGGATGAAAACCATGAAACAGAGGGATATGATGAGGTATACCCTACCAGAAATTTAGGGGGATGAATGTCCACAAATCTCAGCTGTTTTGACCTAGACAGAAGGGGTTTTCAGGGTTTTGACCTGTAACCATTTGACGAAACTAGGGACAGATTCATCAGATGGTTCAATTCCTGGGATCCACACAGCCATAGGGCACCATCCCCTGGCACTGATCATTTTTGGTGGCAGATGGTACTTGGGGGTTATGATTGTGGATCCCACGCTAGCCTTCGCTGGTAGATCCCACATGGGAGCCTCACCATGGTCTCGTCTCGTCCTGGTCAGGGACATGCCCCCTGATGGCTCTCTAGTGTGGACCTTGGGAATCCCCAGAGTTGCCGGATTCGATGTGGGATTCTGATCCATCCGATCCACAAAAATGGGATTGAATAGGATTGAAGCCCCGAACAAAATACCAGGATTTGAGCAACATATACCCTCTGGTAAACTTTCACATAACTATGGAAAGATCCACCATGTTTAATGGGACAATCCACTATTTCGACTGGGCCATGGCTTCAATAGCTTTTTGTAAGTCATAACCAGAGGGTATATCATGGTATATCCCATTAATATCTCATTGAATCACTATAAGATCCCATTAAATCACTATAAGATCCCATTAAATCACTATTTTTATCCCATTAAATCACTATAAATCCCATTAAATCACTATAAATCCCATTAAATCATGGATCATGTGGTAAAACCACTGCCGTTGGCTCCAAGTCTTAAGGAGCGTTGGCTCCAAAGTTTGGCTCCGCGATGTTCTGGTGATATTGGGATTCTTGGGGATGGTTTTATTATTTGGTTTACGACATTATATATAATATAATATACCCTCTGGTGAACTAACATAGCAATGGAAAATCCACTATAAATGGCCATTTTCCATTGCTATGTTAGTTCACCAGAGGGTATATTATATTATATTATATATTATGTTATATATATATATATCATATCATATTATATATAATTATATCATATACATATCAATACTGGATTTGGGGGAATTTTGTCACGACCTTCCCACCACGTCCCCTGATTCATGGTGAATCAACCTGGCTTTTTGGAATTTCCACAATCCAAGGCCCATTTTTTGGGGATTTGCCACTGCCATTGTGACCAACTGGTGAGCAGATGCAGCAAATGTGCTGCGAACGGCCCGAAGAAGAACATTATAGGATGGCCATAGAAATAGTGAGTTTTCCCATAAAAAAATGGTGATTTTCCAGTTCGCTATGTTAAATTACCAGAGGGTAAACTAAGTCGGTATTTTTTGAGTTGGCCTTTGCTTCAAAGTGAATCTGCGACGAGGTCACAGAATTCGTGGTGTATCTCTCCAATGGAACGGGGCCGTGGGGCCCTAAAAATTAGGGTGGGTCTGGACGAGGGTCTGAACCATACGATGACAACTTGAAAACACATGGTTTTAAGTGATAAACCATCTTAAAGGGGGTATATAGTATATTGATGTATATTGTTTTCCTTAACATTTCGCATGTTTATGAAGTTGATGGGTCATAGATCAAAAGCCAGCAATGTGGTGAATACCAAAGTTGTAGGACCCATCCACAGGTGAAAAAAAACCACCAATCAGCAACTACGTATCTGGTTGTATCCCCAAGTTTGTGAAGATCCGGGATTATGTAGAAAAAAATCCTGGTATCCTCAAACCAGCAAACATAGTGGTGATGAATTCATGTGACACTCCATTTAAAATCACCCCCAAAAGGGGGATTTGACAGCAGCCCATCATGATCCGCACCTTCGCACACCTAGGCGTGTGGACTACGCCAACGTCACTGCGACGGTCAACGAAGTGTCGGTGCGCTTTTCCTATGTGGACGTGGAACCCTGGCCCGGGGGTTGAATTAATTCAGGATCCGAACAACTAGTTAGAACAAGTATAGTTGATTCCCAATTCACGGCCATTAAAACAGGGGAACATGATGACAGATACCCTCTGGTAAACGTTTACATAGCTATTGAACATGGCCCATAGAAATAGTTGATTTACCCATTAATAGCATGGTGGATCTTTCCATAGCTATGTTAGTCATAACCAGAGGGTACTGGTGGCCCACTTGGGGTTTTCCCATACTTTTCAGAGGGTTTTCCCATGTCCCTCCAGGTGCCAGCAGAGTTCGGCTTCGACTACCCGCAACATGGCTGGCATGTTGAATGGGGGCCACCGATCGACCAAGGAGGACAACCAGCTACCCGGCCTGGTAAACATACAAAAAGCTATGGTAACTTACCATAGAAATAGTGGATTTACCCATTAAAAATAGTGGATCTTTCCATAGCTTTTTGTATGTTTACCAGAGGGTAGTATATATGACAAGATGGGATTTACAGAGCTATTTCTGTTTCAGTTCACTTGTTTTCCTTCAAGTCCGATTTAGATACTTCGATACCTCTACAAGGGGCCTGTCGATGTGCAATCACACCACTGCAGTTGCAGGGGGATTGCACGGACGAACGTTCTCTGGAAATTAAGCCACGATTGAGAAATTTCTTGTTTGATCGCTACGGCTAAGGGTACCAACTTTAATAGTAAATGGATCACATTTTCAAATTGTGAAAATTTGGTATACTTAAACAATCTTAAACATAAAATCACTGATTTATCACCAGTTTCGGGACCTAGTTTGTTTTTTCAAGACCAAATTTTCAACACTGGCTGAATCGGATGGGTTTTCCACCACGCCAGGTACTTTTGGGTTTACAGCAAGTCCTCCTTGGCTGAAGCCACGACGCCTTACATCCACAGCATTGTGGGATCTTCCCAGGGAACGGTGAGGGCAAAATAAGATGGCCAGTTGGCACATGATGATCTGATGATTATTCGTGATGATGATGATGATGATGATGATGATGATGATGATGTGTTTTAAGATTGTCTCCAAATGTATGATTATGAAAATTATTGTACATTTTTTATTCATTGTGTTTGGAAACATGCTTATGTTTAAATGCATGATTGAATAATTATTGATTGACACTTGCTACAAATGACTAATGATTGGACATGTGATTCCGATTTTTACAGCGTTCCGAACGTGGGTTTTAGGTCGTGGTCAACCAGATATTTCTGTAGCCACCCAGAAGGGGATGATGCAAACTTAGGAACTTTCAAAAAGATGGAAAAATGGAAGCCTGCCCAAAGGATGGCAACTTACTTTCCCATCTTTTAGGGCAGAGTTTCATAATTCTTGAGATCGGTCAGTATGTCAAAGTATGTTTAACCTCAGGTGGAAGGTGATCCCTTCATAGCAGATGAAAAGGCCTTCTTCCCATTTACCAATTTCATGACCACAAATGACAACCTTAGGGCCTTACGGGGCAAACTGAGAGGTTTCATCAAGTGTCATCAGTTTTTTTTGTGCGAAAACATGGAATTTTCCTTGGCCAAAACCAATAGATTTCAGGCATATCTTCTCCACAGCCCCCAAGCTGAGGTCGATGTGGATGCCACGGTGCTCAACCCGCAGTTTGTTGGACAGGAGCGGCCCGGCCCTGGGAACCTGGGAACCAGCCCATTGGTTGGTCGAGATGTTTTCCCATTTCTGATTGGGTGAACGTCTAAAACGGGAGAAGGATCACACCCCTAATCATATATAAATTGGTTCCTTCTTCTGCAGGACTCCAGGTAAATCCGTACTAATTGACTACATTTATGAGATTTTATGAGATTTTATGAGTTGTTGCGGGTTTGTCTGAGAATAGAGTAGCCCAACTTTGATGCTTTATTATTAGTTTCTCATCATTTTCCCTATTAAAATCATCATAGCTGAGGTAAATCCCGTTCTCAGGCAAACAATATCATATCGTTGATGATTTATCCCTTCGCATTCCAATTATGTTCCCATTATATATTTCCATTAGATAGTCATTATCATGGTTAAACCCCTCATTGGAATGCAAAGGGATACGATACCTCAATTATGACATGTTATGACCATCTTCATAGGGTTTCCGGGTTTTATTCCCATGAAATTTCCATGATATTTTCATTCCAATCGGTGATTTCCATGAACATCGAACTAATATTCCCATGATGGAAATTCCCATCGTTACCCGCAGGTTTTCTCAGAAAGTTGATTTAATCCCAGTGAATTCCCCAGTAAATTCCCCATTTTTCGCCTGCAGGACTTAGATCTCAACGACCTGGGTGGCTTTGTCCGGTGGACGCCCAATGGTGCACCCGGAGTGCAGGTTGGCGGCAGGGCGGGAGATCAATTTTTTTTAAAACGGCCGTTTCGATTGGAAAAGATCTGTGTCTCAAAAAGGAGGTAGCCCAAAATTTGATGGTTTATCAATGTTTATCATTACCTTTTCCTGTTATAATATGTTATACTTGCTATTTTGTATATGGTTTGCATACAGTAAACCGTATATTTTGGGACAAACTCCTCCAGGCACCCACTGTTGACTCACCAGGACTATCTCCTGTACCTTGCGCAGAGCGATATGGGAGCCAACCGTTCGCAGGCCGGCGCGGCCGGGTGTGTGCGACAGCTTGACGGCGGGGCAGATGGTTCCAAAACGGCACTTTTATCAATGCACAGGTGGTAACACCTGCAGATGATCCATGTTTAAGACTATCTGACTATCTCCCCAAATCAACCTCGAACATGGTCCAGGTTGGTGCTGCGGTGCTCTCTGGAAGCGGAGATCAAGGATGGGACCACCCTGCTGGAGACGCAGCAGCAGAGTTGGGATGAGAAATCCCAGCCACCCCAACAGAAAGTTTATGGATCCCATACTAAACCAGGCTTTCCAACAGTAGGGAGATGGGATTGGTGGAAAAATGACACCGGCGATTGGTGGAAGTTGATGAAGATTCTGGGAAAAACAGCAATCAACAGCACGGAAAAGTACAACATGCGAGGACTTACATCTGTCATTTGTGGATATGATTTTGTCTCAAAACGGGACTGGAACAGCGCAAAATGGCTAAATGGGGAACATGATGCCAAAGGATGAGATTTTGGGGTTCCAAGTCTTGAGCCCCCATTACTTATATCCCATTGTATATATATATATATATCCCTAATTAATCCCGCATAAAATCACATTTTTTTTTGCTTCAACTTGGCGAAAGCTAATCATTAGGGACCCAAGGAAGAACCACCTTATCTTCTATCTTAGATGGTGCCATGGTCATATCTAAAACCCCTAGATTTGCCTTGAAAAAATGGTATCTGTAGCCATGGCCAGGAGCCATCCCCAACGGCACCGCCCGGGAGCCGTTCGATCGCTTCCTGGTCTACGCCCGCAGCAGCCTGGCTGAGCAGAGCACTCCGAAGGCGCTGGGCTTCGTGGAGGCCGCGCAGAAGTTCCAAGTGATGCTCGGCCGGGGCGGCCTCCTTTAAGGGTCGCCTTGGGAAGGGGAGTGGCAAGACATGGGGAAGTTGGTGGAAGTTGGGGTGCGGATTTTTGGAGGCCAAGTTTGAGTTCTGAAATTTCACTGTTTGCAAGCAGCACATGGGGCCCATCGCAATTTTTGGTGAGAGGGACCGCCATTGGCGGCCCGGGATCGTGGTGCCTTTGATAAATTGGTCCAAAGATTCTCACCAAGTGGGGCAAGTGGCAAGACTCCTCAGCTGGGGGGGCCAAGACTCCATGTTGCAGCTGCACCCAATGGATGGATTCATTCAATTTGTTCGTATCTAACTTATCTCCACTGAAATTGAGAAGATCCACAGGTTTCTTGAGTCATTTCCAAGATTTTATGGTCACAGAGATTCAGTTTGATGCAGCTTTTGTTGGTTTCACAAGGCGGGTGACAGCCATGGCCCTCTTGCGGCAGAGATGGTTGGCTCCCCGCGGTGTGACCCCCCGGGTGGCCAAGCTACGACGTTTGGCGCGGTGGGTGAAGCGGAAGGGGCGCCGCCCAGGCCGCCCAGGGCAGGAAATGGCGATGGAAGTGATGCTGAGCCAAGTGGAGCACCAGAAACTGCGATGGAGAAGATTGTTTTGAGAAGTTTTGAGTAAAGATGGCAAGCAGACTGCAGATTCTTCGGACTGTGCTGGGGCGCAGCCAACTTCGAGGGCGATGTGTGCAATGCAAATGATAAGGATGGGAAATTTTGTTCTGATAGGAAGTCTCAAACCAGAAAACGAAGCTTTAGCCGCCCAAGACTCCGCCATCCGTTCCATCTGCACCCGCCTAGCAAAGCCGCGCCGCCAAAAAAAACACCTGAAGATGTGGTTGCACCCGTCCTTTCAGACATGGGTTCAAGACCGGGTGTTTCAGCAAAGCCAGTTGGCAAGGTAGAGCCAGTGTGGGAATCAGGAAATGCAGCCAAGCCAGCCGCACTTCGACCTCCAGCACTTTCATCTCCAGTTGGGATTCCAGTTCTTCATGTGGAGCATCTTCCAGTATACCTGGGGGCGTTTTGCAAGACATCTCCACCGCTGCCAAGGAATCTTGCACTATGGCCACCAGCCCCGTTGCAACCACCGCCACCGCCTCCCCCACCTCCCCCGCCTGTGAACTCCTTGACTTGCCCTTGGAACATGAAGCGTTTGTACATCCTGGATGCTTTGAATCTCTTGACACACCGAAATCAGGGCGAAGAGAACGACAAAAGTCTTAGGTGGTCTCAACTAGAATCTGCTGCACAATACTATCATCACGGAGCCCAGGTCTTGATTTTCAGTGAATGGCTGAGGGGGCATTCGTTGGAGCTGCATCGGCTGGAGATGAGGTTTGGGCCAGGTTGCGTTGTGTCAACACCGGCCGAAGAAGGAGTAGATTCAGTAGATACTCTCATGTTGAAGAAGGCGATGATGGAACGGCAGAATGGCGGTAAAGCTTTCATCGTCACCAACAATCGCTTGGAAAAGTTCAAGTCATGTGCAGATGTCGACCTGAGCAATCTGGTCGTCAAGTATGCCATGGCCCTTAGCACCTTCATTCCGCAAGATCTCCAAGGATGAAGAGTTGTACATTCGTCTCAGAGGCCAAAAGTGCCACCCATTTTTGATGGTTACTATTTGTGCCCAAAACAAAGTTTTGGCAGTGTTTTTCCCTGGAGGTGGAGCCAGATGTTTGGACACAGAAGGGTAGTGAACCAGACAGCATCCCATCTTGTGGTGAAGATTTTAGTGGTTACAATACTTCGGGGTGCATCCTGCCACTACGTAGGTACATATAGTATATCATGAACCAGTTGTATATGGAATATCCATGGAATATCGCCACTTCTGTATGGCTTACATCCAAATCGTTGGCCGCCAAGAATGCGAGTTGTAGTGGCTTCCTCCCTTATGCCTCGGGACCAACATACTTCTCCATTATACCTTCATTATATCCCTATACATATGTATATAATGTATATAATGTACGTATATATAATATATATATACACATACATACATATGGTACTCAAAACCTACATTTTGTTACATGTTCACATGGTCGGGTTACGGGGGGTTGCCATACATGTATGGTGGTTAAATTATCATAGTCCCCCAGTATTTCCCCTTGATATCTTCCCCAAACATTGTCCCCTCAAGTCTTAACTATGGAATTTTACCCAGAATATTATTCATCACCATACCATTCTTAACCATAAACATGAATAAACATGGTGCAATTGTTACATCATTAATATCCACTGTCAACCATTATCAATCATACATAATTAACCATAGCATACCATAGCTATGTATTCCAAAACAAATGGCAGTGTGTCAAAACCTTGTACCCCTGTAGTTCACATCAAAATAGCTGGGTTAACATGGATGTTCATCCCCCTAAGAATGGTATTTTTCATAGGTATTGATCCATACCCAAATGATCCCCTGAAGTTCGTTGAACGCGGCTTTAGGAGCAACCTGACCTTCAGCGACGAAGACTTGGACCTCAGAGAGGTGGCGAACTATCTCACCTGGACGTCACCAGAGGTGACAACGACCCGGTTGATGGATGGGGGTCGGAAAGCCCGAAAAAACACCCGGGAGGGTAAGAAAGGGTTGATGGATGGGGTTCATGATGGGTTAAGTTGCGAAAAAGCTGGGTGATAGACTGACTGTGAAAAGGTTTCAGTTGTGGGTTTGTTGGAAAATAAGGAGGATCTACCTCCAAGGTCTGGCAGTGTAGACCCAAATAGAGGCAAAGGATTGAGGGTTTGGGACAACCCTTCCCATTGTGAAAGGTTTTTGCAGTTTTCTAAACTGCAAATATAGATCACAGATCCATCATTTTTTCCGATTCCATGGTCCGCAGAGGGACCTGTATTGGTTTAAAAAAGTACGGAGACAAGTGGCCAGCCATTCGTTCTCTGTCGAATGGTCGACCAAATCGGTGGAACTCGTGCGAGTTGCCCAAAGTTTGGAGGAAACCCAATTCAAAAGCTGATGCGTAGACTCGAGATCCAAATTCGCAATCATTTTACAACCACACTTTTTTTGGTTCCATGGTTTGGAGCAGCTCCCAATTTCTTTACTGTGGAGATCGTAAAATGGATCAATATTGTTACTCCAAAATTTTCAAATTGGATACTGAAATTGGTCACTCTCATAGCATGGGTCACAACTTGTTTGATCATCCCACATGATCCCATGCATAGCACCCTGCGGGGCAAAACACGACAGAAATTGACCAATGTCGACCTACCGAAATCACAGGGTCAACTTGCTTTTTCGAAGCCCCGAAAAAATGGAGGATTGACTACCCTCTGGTAATTTAACATAACTATGGAAAATCACCAGTTTCAATGGGAAAATCCACTATTAATGGCCATTTTCAATAGCTACGTAACAAATTACCAGAGCGTAAATATCATAGAATTCCCAAAGAATTGGGTGAATTGGAGGATTCCCAAAGAATCCCCAACTCGGAGGATTTTTTTGGGTGAACCCCCAGGTGACAGACAGCGTGGTGGACTTCCGTATCTTCCTGGCCGAAGACGGTCTGCCCGCCGTGGCGCAGGGGCCGATGACGGAGCTGGGAGCCAGCACGGTGGAGACGACGGAGTTTCTGGTGGTGGAAGGCGCCATCCACTGGGGACATGTTGTGAACAGATACCCTCTGGTTATGTCAAACATAGCTATTGAAAATGGCCATTGATAGTGAGTTTTCTCATTAAACATGGTGATTTTCCATAGTTATGTTAGTTTACCAGATGGTAATATGATGGGTATAATTAACAATATCTGTTCAGTGATATGATGGGTATAGTTACGTAGCCTCTGGTGATGTCAAACAGTTTGCGAATTTGAAGCCATGGCCCAGTCGATTTATAGTGGATTTGCCCATTGATAGCATGGCGGATCTTTCCATAGTTTACCAGAGGGTACTGGGGGAATGAGATGATTATTACTAGTGATGACTGGGATCATTCCCGAAAATTCCCTACTTACTAAGCACCAGTAAGTTTCCAGCCATGACCATGACATTTTCTTTAAAAATGGGTATGTAGACTTGAGCACTAGTAAGTGGAATAATTGGTATTTGGATCTTCGTTTTTTTTTTCATGGAGATTCGAGATATTTTGTGTTTTTCCCCCGCTGTTGATGAGGACATCATGTGACCTTTGGTCATTTGTTCCACAGCCATGGAAGAGATATACAGGGATTTAATTGGATTTCAATGTGAATTTTATGGATAAGACTTGGGATATACCAGATATGGTCATTTAACAGTTTGCTATGAACAATGACCATGCACAAACAACGGTAAATATAGGTACACCATCAAGATAATTGGGTCATTTGCCATAGCTATGTAAAATTTCCGGAGGGTAGTGGAGTCTTTATGTTCGAACATGTGTTGTAGCCATAACTTCATGGACTAATAACCATGGTGAATCAAAATTGGGGGTGCAGTTTCAGTAATACCTAGGGTTATATTAATGGTTATGGAACCATAGAGGGCACCATGGTTATACCCATGAAATCCCATGGTATCCCAACATCAATGGCCATGCAACAGGAACCGATAAAAATTGGAGGTACCTAAGATATATAAGGCCTATTTTTCAGGGCTAAATTTCAGGGGATATACCCCCAAAATATGGCCAGAAATATGGTACGTTTACGTACCTCCATCTGTTGGATCCTGGAGATCTCCCATAAGCAAAATGATGACCCCCAAGCAGAATGGCCATGGGACGAATCCCCAAGCGAGCCAACCATCCAGCTATGGGGAGACTGTATCTCCATTTAAACATCCAAATGGGGCAGTCACCAGTCCCCAAAAACCCATATGTGATATATGTGATATGATGATATGGTAACTGGTTGGTGGTTTCGAACATGGCTTTTATGACTTTCCATATATGGGATAATCCTCCCCATTGACGCATATTTTTCAGAGGTGTAGGTCAACCACCAACCAGTAAACGCAGGATTTTCCCTTGCCATGTTTGATGATTGGAGGGTAAGTGGATGCTCCCAAAGGTAAGTGTAACATGGATGGCCTACACCGGTCCAGCAACCCAGATTCTGTCGCTCCCAACTGCGGAGGAACTCCCATCGAGAATTACACGCAGATCTTGGTCCCTTGGCCGTCTCTATGGCCCATTAGCGACATTCAAACAACGGGTCCACACGCAGGGTGGAGACTTGAAACATCTTGAAACATATCACCCCCCCAAGATTGATGAACATTGATGGATTCCTGGGATGGTATGGGTTATTATCCCCAACCGGGTTGAGGTTTCTTCCAATGCCCAGCCTTGAAAACTCATGGGTGTCTGCCCGGAAATTTATTTTTTGTTCAGACTTGGAACATCTGGATATGGCTCAAGATTTGTGTCCAGTACCCCAATCGTTGGATGATTTTTATCCAAAAATTCGTGGTCTGGTCAATGTGATGTGGCCAAAAATACATCATTTCGTCAGTTTGGGTCAATTTTGAGCACCCCAACTCTGGCGTTTCCCCGTTTTTTTTCAGACGTTGGATAGCCTACCCAGCTGGCGTTCTGTCGCTACCAGTTGCCCCAGCTGGCGAGGTCTACTCCCGCTCCTCCAGCATGACGCAGAGCACGCCTTCCGCGGTCAACGTCACGGATCTGGACGAAAGTGTCGGGTTCCCATCAGCGACCCTAACATTGGTTCCAATGCAAATCATAGGTAGATAATAGATGTTGACAGTGCGGATATGAACCATAATGATATGAATCATGATGTTAACACTGTTAACCATGATTTTAACAAATCAGATTTTTGACATTCTTTTAGCCCTTTACAGCTTTATAATTGTGGAGTTTGTTTTTGGGAATCAGGGGATGGGTGAACACTCAGCAGGTTGAACACCGACAAATCCACAGCCCAGCGGCTTCAGTCCTTCTGTTCATGGGTTTGGTCTTGTTGAGAAAATCAAAACCTTAAAGTGGTTGTGGTTTTATTGACATAAACTCGTTGGCAAATGTGATGGTTCCAATATTGTTGCTTAGTTGATCCATTTCTAAATCTATGAATTATGATTAGATACTGTGGATGGTTGAGAAATCTTGCACCACCAATTTTTGGATGGTATTTCAACATTTTCAACCCATCCTTAGAATATATCGTGGGATGTAAAAACCAACCAAGCACCGTGAACTCACCTGGTGATCACTGGATAGACCGCTGGCCCATCCACCGTGGATCTCATGGCTGGAATCCTGGAGGTCTCCAACGTGCGTTTTGAAGACTACGACTTGGACCCCCTGGACATCGGGGGTGGAGTGGCATGGCTGGCCTGCTGGGCCTGGCCCTGGACATTTTTCGATGTGGGATTTACCAACAATAATGGGAATGAATCATATGTATATATATATATTATATATATATATACATATGCAATTATTAGCATGTTATAGCATGCTGATGGGGGTTTGATGGGATATCTGGAAAAACATTCAAGAATTGAAGTAGCCAATTTCTGAAAAAGGGATACACCCAAGGAGACTTGGGTGATGTCACGCCAGTTACTTCTCCCCAGTTGTCAATGCAATGGGAGCTTATCAGCCACTGATGGCAGTACAACCGCGTGAAAAGCATGGAAGATCCTGTCCTCTATGATATTCAAAACATTTTTCATTTTAAAATCTATCTTGGGACGGCTAGCATCCACATACCTCTGTGTGACACAAATGCACACATCTACACATCTAGACACATTCATGTCATGTATTTTACGCTATGTGTATATTACAGTATATGTTTATGTTTATGAAAGCCGAAGATAGAAACGTCAAATCTCACAGTTCAACCCATGGTTCAACCAGCGTCGTTCCTATCGATTTGGGGGGTCGCTGAACAGCAGCGATCAGCGAGGTGAACTGGACGCCCCCAGAAGCCTTGGAGGCCACAGAGTTCTACTCCGTGCAACTGGAATGGGCGCCTTGGTGATTTTTTCGCCGCGGGGGGTTGGTCAGAAATGACAACCAGCCAGGCAGTGTCGCTATGAGAAAGTTGGGAGACAATGAAACAATCACCAGCAAAATGAGAAGATAATGATTTTTATCAGTTCAAAAATGATAGTAATCATCAAAAATCCTTATCACTTCAGCAAAATGAGAAGCTGTTGATGCCACTCAATTGAATGATAGGGGCTACAGGATACAACCAAAAAGGGGACCGGGGACCCCTAGCGATTCAATGTCATCAATGAAAGTGTGACCCTTGAGTCATCCGACATATCATTTGCCCAAAGGGATTTGTATAGGGCTTTAAAACTTAGGGACGAGAGACAATCATCCTACATTGCATGAAATTGATGGTCAGAAATTTATCCCAGAGTCCCCAAGACTATAGTTATGGAACATCCAAAACATATTTTTTTTATATTCCCAAGACTCTCGGACAATCTTGAGCCCAAGTTACCTTGATCCCTAGTTTGGTTCCACCAAAAATGACTGGATCCGTTGGCCAAAGGATCAAACCTTTGAGTATCGCAGCATCATCGCCGAAGTGGCCGTCGGGGAGAAGCACTACGAAATCCCCGCGGCGCCCCGCCCTTTGGGGGAAAAAAACATGGTACCCTCGGGTAATTTAGGGTGACTTTCCATGGGATATTTCATGGGATCTAATGTTCGGGATTTACGAACATTGCCCATTTAAAATGATTATTCTTCATGGGATCTAATGTTCGGGATTTACGATAAAATTGCCCATGTTTTTGGATTATTTACCTATTAAAAGCCATAGAAATAGATGATTTTCCTATGACACATGGTGATTTTCCAGTTTGCTAACAAATTACCGGCAGATGATAGATCTATGGAGAATCCGATGGGATCCGTGAGTGATTTTTTCCAAAGCAGCCACTGCTGAGGACACATATTTGGGGACCTTTCCCTACATGTACGTCTACACCAAGCATCTTGGCTGACTTTTCTTGATGTTCGGATTGTTCGGTTCTTGGCTCTTGCGGGGTTAGATTGTGTCCACTTTTTGGATTCACAATCTGAAAGATGGCCTAAAAAGTTGAAGTCTACCCGCGGGATAAGGCTAACAGTTGGTTGCTGTTGGTTGTATCCGATGTATCCCCAAATTCAAAAGTTCACCCTGCTGGAAAATCTGCGATTTTTGTGACAGCCGAAGATTTTAAGCCTTATTGGGATCAGATGGGTTTACCATTATCTTCTAATCTCAGTAAATTTTTTTCCATTCCTACCATCTATAAGAATTCTACCCTCCGGTAATTTAATATAGCTTATTGAAAATGGCAATAAAAAAAAAGTTGATTTACCCGTGAAAAATGGTGATTTTCTATAGCTACGTTAGTTTACCAGAGGGTAAGATCTCACTAATCCCCACTCAACGTGAACCTAGTCACAGGGGGATCCGTACACCACGATAGAAACAACACATTTTCCATGCCTCTCTAGGCGACTCCGCCATGGAAAATGGCCAAGTTATGGGACATGATCCGTATATAACCCATATAATCCCATTAATATCATTAATCCAGTGGGGTTATTCCTATATATATATATATACTCATATATATCTACATAAACTCCTATACATATATATATACATACTCGTATATATGTATATTTGTATTTATGTGTGTGTGTGTGTATGTATGTATATATATATATATATATAACTGGTGGTAGAACCAACTAAGTGGGATGCACCCCCAAGTATTAATAGGCATTTAAATAGTCATTTAGAGAACTAATAGGTACAACATCTATATATAGGATTCTATAGGGATAGTTGAAAACATATATACTAATTTGTCGAATAGGGAGATTTTCCATCGCCTACCAGATGGTCACATAGTGAGATGGGCAAAAGAAATGTGGCCAATAGTTCAATAATCAACTGGCATTTATATTTGCAATGCTTCATTTTGGTTTGCTTTCCATTTCCCTGTTGGTGTGGACAGTTGCTGCCTTGCAGTTTTCAACATCCAGACTCATCTCATTCAGAATGCCATGACTTCCGCGCCTGGCACATTTTTCTGGGATTCTCACATTTTCCCCCTGAAAATGGCCAGATTTTGGGCAATTCCCAAGATTTTTAACAGGAACTTGGCCACCCAAAGACTCCAGTCGTCCCTTTCCGCAGTGCCATAGCCATGTGGCAGCCCCGTTGTGGTCAGGTCCAGTTTGTTGGAGCAGACGACTCCAGTGGGGCTCAAGGTGAGTGATACGGCACCCGAGATCACCAACATCCAATTTTCGGATCAGGACCCAGCTGGATGGGACTCATGGGACGGAAATTTCCGGGGGGGTGAGGGGTGTAGAAATGTGTAGAACAGCTACGGCACATGAAATCCTGAAGTTTTTGGGATTCAACAAAATTTTTCAGTACGACACTCATTGAATCTCATTCAGCTTTTGTGTTTACCCTCTGGTAAACATACAAAAAACTATTGAAAATGGCCATTTATAGTGAGTTTTCCCATTAAAAAAGTTATGTTAGTTTACCAGAGGGTATCTCCAAGTTGGAGATTTCCAGCGCTGGGTTGACGTCAGAGGACTTGGATGAACGGGAGATAGGTGGCAATCTCACCTGGACTGAGCAACTTGGAGACGATTTCGGGATGGACCTGCCGGCGAAAAACATCAAATACAGCAGTCCCCCAAAGAGAGAAAAGCAGAACCCTACTAAAACAGTAATGGTTTATACAATGTGAGGCCCCCCCTGTTATAAGTTGGTTTATAAGCCCCAGTAACTATAGTTGTAAGTACCATAAACCATAGTTATTGGAGTTATTTGCACCAACTTAGCTATCGAACGGGGGCCTCACATTGTAGAATTTCCTATCTTTTTTTGTTCCGGTTGCCAAATGGCAATGGCAAATTCCCAAACTTTTGGGACTGCAATGGCAGAGTCCTCAATCGGGGATCAATGGCACAGATGAGGCCTGCCAATTGGAGTCTACTGACGCACTACTACATCTACTTTGCTGCTGAGGCATGGAGGAATCTGAGCCATGAACGGTTTACACTGTTTACACTTTGATGGATAGTTTTCCTGTCAAATAATGGGCTGGTTACGTTGCCATGTTCCGATTGCTGGAGGCAAACAGGCCAGATTTCGGGTGATTCTTCGGGCCAGAACTGTCTCAGCTTTGGGAGCTATTCATTGGGAATCCCAACCCTTGAACAAAGCTACTCAGCAGCCAATATGATCAATATGGCTGTGTCACATAGGCCCAAGATCCATTGTTTTATCTGGTTGGTGGTGACTGGAACCATGGAATTTTCTGACTTTCCATATATTGGGAATCTCATCATCCCAACAGACGGACTCCATCATTTTTCAGAGGGGTAGGTCGACCACCAACCAGATATTAAGATCATTAACCAGATATTAAGATCATTAACCATCAATATCCCATTTTCATGATCTCCCCATGGTTAAACCATTAAAAACCATGGTTAAACCATTAAAAACCATGTGTGAATTGTGTGCCTCACAATGTGGCATATAGCACCATGTAACTATACATGCTGCTGTTTCTAACTTCTGGGCTCAATGCCCCACTCTAGGGAGGGTTCATCCCTAGGGACAGAGCCATAAGCTGCTGACTTTGCAGCCTGTGGAAAAGGCTGCTTCCTTTTGCAAGGTGTTGCACCTAGTGTGGCAATCTACCTGGATCAGTTCGGAACGCTACCTGATCAACATTGGTAGCGGAGCCTACCAGGCTCCCTACCCAGCTCTACTACCACAACTTCATCCGGAACTTTGACTACATCGAGCCCAACGCTTCACCCCCACTACTTCGCTGTCGAGATCCTCACGCTCTTCGCGCTGTGCTGGCTTGGGCGACCTACATCCTGCAGTATGTCTTCTTCGAGCTTCCCTTCTTCGCCTTCACCCGGGGTGGACATCGTCAAGGACTCCTACATCCCTGTCTTCTCGAACAAGCCAGAGGACTATCGAGAATGGAGAGCCCGAATAGCTCTTTACCGACGGAAGATGGAGATTCAGAAGAAGGAGAAGGAGGCATGCATCAACTTGATGACGAGCCTGACTGGCATAGCTTGGCGCCAGATAGAGCACCTGGTCGACAAGGCCTCTGAGGACAAAGATGGATTCGATCTGATCCTTCGACAATTGGATCAGACGTTCAAGTACGACGACCAAGTCGAGATGCCAAGAGCCTTTGAGAAGTTCTTCTACGGCACCTCACGCCGTGAAGGACAGACACTCCTGAACTATGTGGCCGAGCACCGCGAGGCATTGGCAGAACTGGACAAGCATGGAATCTCCTTGCCCGACAAGGTTGCTGGCTGGGTACTACTTCGTCGAGCTGGCCTATCGCAAGAACAAAAGCAGCTCATACAAGGAAGAGCTCCTGACTATGCGCAGAAGGCCGTGACGGAGGCGATGTACTTCTTGCTTGGGCAGGACTACAAGGGCAAGAATGCTGACCGATCCTGGCGTGGCAAAGGCTATGGATCCCCGAACCGTTGGCGTGCACGACAACAAGGCTACATCACTGAGGACTTCTATGAGGCTGAGGATGACAACATGGTCTACGACGAGAACTTCGACGACACCGAGTTCGATGAGCCTTGGGATGATGCCTACTATGAGGACGACGAGTACGAGGAGCAGACCTACGCCGCCAACGATGAGGTGGACGTCTCTGACGAGACCTACTGGGAAGCCGAGCAGAACTATGAAGATGCGTTTGCAACGTATCTTGATGCCCGTCGCCAGATGGCACACCTGAAAGCCTCTCGAGGATTTTTCCCGGTTGTGGCCCTGACTGATGGAGGTGGATCTGCTGCTGGCTCCCCGATGTCACAAGGCCCAAGACCTCCAAAGGCCAAAGGCCGCGGAAAATCCAAGTCCAAGTCCAAGAACAAGACCAGCACCTGGGTCAATAAGGGAGGACAGATTCCACAGCGAGCCAACGCCACGCGATGTCTCAAATGTGGCCAAGTTGGACACTGGGCAGCTCATTGCCCACAAAACTCACCATCGAAGTCTACGACACGGCAGAGCCCTACCTCCTCGCCTACCTCAACATCTCCGTCGAAGAAGGCCAAGGGCAACGATGGATCTGCTATGATGGTGCGCGACATGGCCAAACAAGGACCTCGAGGAGTACCACACCTGGGCCCTGCTGGATGGTTTGGACTTCAAGATGGAGGTGCAAGCTCAGTTGTCTGTGGTCACGATGTCTTGATGCGCATCGTGGACTACATGCGTGGCCGTGGCATCAGCCCTGACCGGTTCCTCTTCATGCCGACCAACAAGACTTTTGGTTTTGGAGTGACGCCTCGAGACAAGCTGACTGGTCAGTCCGCTTACCCGTCTACATAGGCGGAAGGGCTGGCTACATGGAATGCTTTGTGGTCGAAGGCAACACGCCTCTCCTGGTCGGAAGGCCGATCCTACAGGCCTTGAAGCTGAAGATGGACTATGACACCAACAGGATGTCAATTGGTGATGGCCCTTGGACAACCGTCACCCAAGGTGAGAAAGGAGAATTCCTCCTGCGGTTGGACGATGGAGTCGAAAACGACCCTGATGGCAACAACGTGGACTTTGACTACGTGACTGACGAGACCTTCAACGCCATCACC